AATGCCGAAGGGGAAGAAGGAAACCCACCCTGTGCGCTGTGGCGTGCACCTGCACCCCGAGATGCCTCTGCTTGCTGCCTCTCCCTCCAGACTGGGTTGGAGCATGGCTGGGTTTGATGCTTGTGACCTCAGATGGGGTAGGGCCAGGGTAGGAGCGCGGGGGCTGCTAGATCAGTAAAGGGGTAGGACCAAGTCAAGGTGACCAGAAGCTTACACTGGGTGGGATGAGACTGCCATTTGTGGCAGACGCCTCATTCACTCTTTCTGAACCAGCGGTTGCTGGGGTACCATGTGCCAGGCCTTTGGTGAGGCCCAGCCCTCTCAGGTTTCTGCAGTTTCTGTACACCCTTTCTATTCCCAAGATCCCAGAGGGCTTTCTGAGCTACCTGGGATTTGGTGGCACGATCCCATTCCAGTCCGCTGGCCACACTGCAGGTGGATCTTTTGGTTCACCAGATAACTTACTTTGTTTCTTTTTCCGCTAAAGTGAAAGGGGACTAGGGAGAAACTTATTTTATTAGCCAGATGGGAAAATAAACCTAAGAGCAAGGTCCTCCATCTCAAACCCTAAACTCAGGCTGGTTTCCCCACCTGCCAGAGCAAACATTTTGTCTTAGAGATTTAGAGGGGTCTTGCTCTCCCTGGTTTCAACTATCTCGGTTCATGAAATGACCATACAAAGACTTCTGTTGGTGAGTCATCAAATCTTTCAGGAGCCTAAGATGTACTCAACCTGATCCACTCTCACAAACAGGCAGATGCGGTTCCTGGGCTCAGGCCGCGGGGGAGACAGACACTGACTTGCCCACGACCACAGAGACGAGGCTTGGAGCCTGGCAGCCTAAGAGTGAGCAACCAATAACAGCTGGGTGGGCCCAGTGGCTGCTCAGAGGTGGGGTCTGAGATGGCAGGATTCTAACAGAGCAGGGATCGGGGAGAGCTCACCATCAGGGGAAGGGCGGCCCTGGCCTGCACCGCATCTGCCCTGGAGCCCTTTCGAGTGTGGCTAGTTTGGCCAACCTCCCAGCACCAATACCTAGATGGGGGGCTGAGGAGGTCTTATCTGACAGGACTGATGGCCTATGCCCAGGGACCAGGACAAGGACAGGGCTTGGCTCTGAGTTCAGGGTGTGGAAGGACAGAGAACACACACTCAGCATTTGGTTTTTGTTGATGTCAACAGGGTTTAAAAACATCCTGACTTGTAGCAAAAGTTCTTTCCTCAACTGGGTTGCTACCCCAAAACACAGCCTGAGGTACATTTGTGCCCAAATGTACTAACTGGTGCTCGGAGGCAGGGGTTTAAAAACATCCTGACTTGTAGCGAAAGTTCTTTCCTCAACTGGGTTGCTACCCCGAAACACAGCCTGAGGTACATTTGGGCATGCCCAAATGTACTAACTGGTGCTCGGAGGCACCCTCTCTCCTGCTGGAGGCCAGGGGCTCAAGAAAACCCTAGCACAGGCTCCTGGGGGAGGCAGCCAGAGCCCACCCAAGAGGAAGCAGTGCTGTCAGGGTCAGAGGGAGTCAGGGCTCACAGTACAGACAGAGGGTGGCTGACATGAGATGGCCCAGGGAGGGTTCTCTGAAGAACAGACCTGTGAGGACATGCAGGTGGGGTCTGAGCGTAAGATGAAGGAGGTTGCCAGGTGAGGCTCGGTGTGAGCAAAGGCACGGAGTTTCCTTGCTGGGACAGCTGCGAGGACAGCAGCAGAAGGACCTGGGAAGGGGGCTGATGCCTGCTGAGGGAAGCTCCTGGGTGCTGGAGGAACGTGCTCTTGTTCTTGGACATCAGCGGGCTATGTGTAAGGGCTGTTACCAGTGGGCAGGACTGGGGGTGTCTGACCACTGTCCTGGGTTGAAGGACAGAACTGGCTGCACTGTGGCTTAGGTGTTGAGCACGGCGGCAGGCCAGCCCACTTCCATATATGGGTACCTGGACACCCAGGCCTGAACACGACAAGCCTATCTGGCATAGATGTGCCTTAAAGGAGCCTTCAATGCCAAGACTGATCTCCCACGGGAGGAAACAAAGCATGGGAGAAGGAGGGTGCTGGGACAGTGAGGGGCTTCCCAGGCTCCTCAGATCAAGCAGCTGCCCCTGGTAGGGGAGCCAGTGCTATCCCGGCCCTATCACTTCTCATCTAAGTGATTTTTGGCAAGTCACTTTCTCTCTGGCCTGGGTTTACCCTCTGAAGTGGGGGAGCAGGACAGGCGGATAACACCAGGGGAGGTGCGCTGAGAACCATGGAGTTCTCACAGCCCCTGGCCCCCTCCCTGCCAGGTCCCTGAGCTGCAGCCTCTCTCAAACGCTCTCTCAGGAGGGTGAAGCCCTCTTCTTAGACCTGGAATGGGATCTGATGCCTGCCAACGTGTCTTGTGTTCCCTCTACTCCAGGCCCCAGATGGATCCCCATAACTGGCCACAGGCTCCCAGGGCGAGGGAGCTGGGGAGAAAGGAGGGAGACCCGGGTCTGCGGCTCGGATCAACTGTCCCACTGGCTCAAGACCAGGATGCTTTCTCTTTCTGGGTCTCAGTGTCTTCACTGCCAAACACAGGGCTAAGGTGGAGCTAGAGCTGACCCCAGCTGCACACACCAGAGTAAAATGAAGCCTTGCTGTCCTCAGAGCTGCGCCAGGCAAGGGCTTAGGCCCCAAAGCAGAACTGGGGTACAGCACCTCCCAAAGCATGCCCAGTGCTAGGCCAGGCTCAGTTCAACTTCTACCCAATTCCCTTCCCCAGGCCCCCCACAGCTGCTTCTGGCCTGGGAGTAGGGCTGCAGTTCTGATCTTTTTCAGAGCCACTCTCTAAGTGACATAAACAGTGACTCAGGAGCTGGAAGCAAAACTTTCCAAAGAGCTGCAAACTGAAAGCAAGCAGCCTGGTTCTGGCTCCTAGGTGGCTGGCCTGGGAGACGGTGGGGGAGGGCTCAACACGGCTGCCTGCCTCACTCAACTTTCACCCCTTTGGCTGCCTGCCCTGGGCAGCTCCTTCTCCTAAGGCTGGAACTAGGACTTCCTCGGTGCCAAAGCCAGCAGCAAACTCAGCAGCCACAGCTGAGACAAGGCTGGAACTAGGACTTCCT